TATGTTAAGTGCCGTTATTATTTTTAAATTCAGTTTTAAAATTAATTAAAATGAGAGTAGATAGAACATTGCAGGGAGTGCTTTATTTATGATGAGACAATTAATAATTTATAAATAGCATAATTGGTAAAAATATAGAAGCAAAATATTTCTTTTTAGCCATAATTTGCTTTGAAGAGAACTGTTTGGCACATTGTTAAGAATTATTCTTTCAGTTTTAAAATACAAAATGAAAATATTTCACTTTTCCAAATGGCACAAAATCTTCTGATTTTCATTTTAAGTGTACATGTTCTTATTTTGTAATGTCTTTATTTTGTAATGCATTCCCAAAAACGTAAGTCTTTAGCAACAACCAAAATTATTTTCAGTTAAGTTTTGTAATTTGGGGCTGTATTTCAAAAGAATTACTTCATTTTGTTGCATGAGAGATTAAACAGAAAAATACACAGATCTTAAGATATGGGGATTTTGTTTTTTATTGCTAAAGCAGTTTTAAATAGTTTATATGTATCAGAAGCAATTCAGTCTAATGTATTATATGGCATAAATAATTTGATCTTTAAATGAGTTAGCATTTTAGATAGTTTACATGTTTATAATAATGATATAATATTATAAATAAAATATATATCTTATATGTTATAATTTTAATAAAGTTAAAATTTAATTCCTCTTTGCAGTAATCCTTTCTGATAGGATTTCTGACAGAATCATAGGCAAGTAAATGCCAACAGAATGCAAAAAATCTGTTTTTCTCACCAAATTGATGTCGAGGTAAACCAGGACTCACTTGAGGGATTCCACTCATTAGCATAGCTGATCGAATTTGAGTACTTTGTAACTGGAGATTCTGAGGGCCAATGAGGATTGATTGTATCAGATTGTGAAATTCATGCTGCCAACTGAACAAAAGGACACCATGAAATAACATTTCATTTTTGTTGATAAACTACCTGGGTTGTTCTTAATAAACTATACATTAAAGCATATTTTAAAACTCTGGGCCGGGCGCTGTGGCTCACGCCTGTAATCCTAGCTCTTGGGAGGCCGAGGCGGGCGGATTGCTCAAGGTCAGGAGTTCAAAACCAGCCTGAGCAAGAGCGAGACCCCGTCTCTACTATAAATAGAAAGAAATTAATTGGCCAACTGATATATATATATAAAAAAAAAATTAGCCGGGCATGGTGGCACATGCCTGTAGTCCCAGCTACCCGGGAGGCTGAGGCAGAAGGATCACTCGAGCCCAGGAGTTTGAGGTTGCTGTGAGCTAGGCTGACGCCACGGCACTCACTCTAGCCTGGGCAACAAAGCGAGACTCTGTCTCAAAAAAAAAAAAAAAAAAAAAAAAAAACTCTGACGAGTTCAAATGGTATTTTTTAAGAACTGAATACAGGCTGGATGTGGTAGCTCATTTTTTATGCTATATGTAAATATTACCATATATGTACGTTAAAAATGCACACATGTAGAAACTAAAGACAAAGATTAAACATATTTTAAAATGTCTTGCTAACCATGATGACTATATGCTATCATTAGTTAACATATCAGATCAATACGCTCTTTGGGCAAGGTTCATTGTACTGATAGTGTGTCCAGGTCCAGTATTATAGTCTCCATGTTTTTTTTGTGTGTGAGGGGGGTTGACTTTTTCCATGATTAGCCCATCACCTGGTAATGTTGCTGATAAAGAGTTAATAGCTTTCTATTTTATTCTTGTTTGCTTGTTCTTGCATTATTAGTTTTAGCTTCAATTAGCAGTTTCTTTGTAAAAAAAAAAAAAACTTTTTTTTTTTTTTTTTTTTTGAGACAGAGTCTCACTTTGTTGCCCAGGCTAGAGTGAGTGCCGTGGCGTCAGCCTGGCTCACAGCAACCTCAATCTCCGGGGCTCAGCGATCCTACTGCCTCAGCCTCCCGAGTAGCTGGGACTACAGGCATGTGCCACCATGCCCGGCTAATTTTTTGTATATATATTTTTAGTTGGTCAATTAATTTATTTCTATTTTTGGTAGAGACGGGGTCTCGCTCAGGCTGGTTTCGAACTCCTGACCTTGAGCAATCCGCCCGCCTCGGCCTCCCAAAGTGCTAGGATTACAGGCGTGAGCCACCGCGCCCGGCTTTTTTTTTTTTTTTTGAGAGTTTCACTCTGTTGCCCCAGGTAGAGTCCAGTGGCATCATCGGGGCTCACAGCAACCTCAAACTCCTGGGCTGTGGCGATCCTCTGGCCTTGGCTTCTTAGAGTGCTAGGATTATAGGCGTGAGCCACCGACTCTAGCTGTAAAAATCTTTTTAAACCATTTATCTACTTCATGGAGGTGTTTAGTTAAAACTAGTAGATAATTCCAAAAACTGATAATATATAAAGTATAGTCTGTAGCACAATTTTGTTCTCGCCTTTGGAGGGTAGAACTCTTGCTTTCATCTCAGGATACCTTACCACTATTCTGTGTAACCACTTAGATATCCACTGTGTGAGGAAAAAACCCTACTGTGAATCTGTATACTAAACATTAGCACACTGAACTCAATCCTTCACTGAAAAATATTAAAATGAAAACATTAGCACAATTTAATTAATTTTCATTAAACATGAAAATAAATATAAATATCAGCTTAAATACTTTCTTACCTCAATGGATGATGGTCTTCCACATTCCCTGAGGTGTGTACATCCCACCTGGGGGACCACCATGTTAGAAAACAAGTCCATTCTGTCATAATCTTATTTTTAAATAGAAAAATGACAAATAGTCAGTGATAGGGAAGAGGAAGAGAAGAATAAAATATAAGACTCAATTTATCTCTACTGGAATACTTCTATCTAGCCCCTAATCAAGTAGGCCTGGTCCATGTCTTCCCTCTCCCAAGTTAAAAAACATTTACATTAATATGCAGATTGACTTTGTAAATTTCCTTTAAAACTCAATATAAAGGGGGAAAATTGGTTTCCTCGATATCAGTCTAGATTTGATTGAAATAGCATGTATTTGACTATAAACGCACCTTATCATATACTAAATTTAGCTTGTCTCTGTTGCTTCCATTAAGCTGTTGTCCTGCAACCTTCTTTTCCTTTTTCATTTTCTTCTCATTTCTTCTCTTGATAGTAACATGATTTCCTATGCCACCTTGTCCTCCAGTCATGTTACTTTCAAGAAGACATGTCTGAATCTATTTCATTAGGTGTATCAAAACAGAGCCCCCTTCAAAGTTGCTTTGCAGCTACTAAGGAATTGAGTTAATAATTTTCAGATAAATAAAATAGAAGGAAAACTTCACTCCTTGCTTCCAGAAAAATAAATTATGATGGGTAAAAAGAATCAACTCTAAGATGGGAGAGCAAAACTGTTACTCTGCTATAAATATATTGAGTACTGCATGTCTCATCTTGTTTCTTTCTACCTAACTCAGCAGATGAATTTATGATTAACCAGAAATTCAATTTAGTAGATATATAACTATTCAAGTTATCTACTGTGAGCGAGCTCTGGTAGCTTGTCTTTTTTTTTTTTTTTTTTTTTTTGAGACACAGTCTCACTCTGTTGCCAGGGCTAGAGTGCCATGGCGTCAGCCTAGCTCACAGTAGCCACAAACTCCTGGGTTCAAGCGATCCTTTTGCTTCAGCCTCCCGAGTAGCTGGGACTATAGGCATGCGCCACCATGACCAGCTAATTTTTTTCTATATATTTTTAGTTGTCCAGCTTTTTATTTTTTTAGTAGAGACAGGTCTCACGCTTGCTCAGCCTGGTCTTGAACTCCTGAGCTCTATCTGCCTGCCTCGGCCTCCCAGAGTGCTAGGACTACAGGCATGATCGACCGCACCTGGCAGGTAGCTTGTCTTTTTAAGGACGTTGTCAATGTCATCAAAACTCAAATTTATCAGCATAAAGTTGTCTGTATAATGAATGCCCTTATTGCTTTAATGTATCTGGGATCTGTAGTGACGTCCCCATTTGTTACTGATCTTGCTATTTGTCTTTTTTCCTCCTCTGTCTAGCTCCAGCTCAAGGTCAATCTTAGCTGCATTCCATATTTTGTTTTCATTTTCACTCAGTTAAAAATATTTTCTACTCTCCCTAGACTTTTTTGAGAAAAGGATATTTTAAGTATGACATCCAATTTCCAAATGTGTGGATTTCTCAGATGTTAATTGTTAATCTAATTTCCTTGTGATCTGAGAATATACCTTGTATGATTTCAATCCTCTTAAAGTTATTGAGCCTTGCTTTATGGCCCAGAATGTAGTCTATTGTGATAAATGTATCATGTGCACTTGAATGTGTGCTCTGCTTTTGTTGGTTATCCTTTAAATACTGTATCAAGTGTTCAAGTCATAAGACTCACTTTCTGCTTGTATCAATTGGTGAGAAAGATAAAACCGTATTTGTGTTTAGTCTATTACTCATGTAAGTTCTATCTGGTTTTGCTTCATATTATTTTAAAGCATGTCCTGTTAATGATCTATTACAAAATGTCTCTTTATTGCAGAAAATATTTATTCTAAAATCTACTTTGATATTAACATAGCCACTTCAACATTCTTTTCATTATTGTTTGCACAGTATATCTTTTTCCATTCTTTTACCCTTTAAAGGGTTTTCATATACACAGCTTATAGTTGGGTCTTGCTTTTTTGCCCAAGCTGACAATTTGTCTTTTAATTAGATTGTCTTAGAGTTTAAACTTTAGACCATTTACATTTAATTATCACTATGATTATGTTTAAATCTATCATCTATTTTTATTTGTCCCATTGCTCTTTGTTTCTTTGAAAACTTTTTCTTTTTTTTGAGACAGAGTCTTGCTGTCACCAAGTGCAGTGTGTCATCATAACTCACTGCAACCTTGTGAACATATCCATTTGTAGAGTGAAAAATATGCTGGTTGCCTGCTATATGCAGAATGCACTGAGCTGGTCCCTAACCCCCAATGTATTCTAAATCAAATCTGATATGGCTTGAGATACTTTTTTATTTTTTTTAAGAATGACAAAAACAGACTGGAATATGCTTTTCTTTATTAAATCTTACTTATAATCTTTAAGGGACAAACACAGACACAAGTAGGCTACAGTGAAGAAATCTTATTTTTATAAGAGAATTATGTTCCAGGTATTATCTTCAGTGATGCTTCTTATCTTTATTCACGGACTTCAGGAAATATTCAGCCCCTGCAGCTACCACAAATGCAACAAATCCCCATTTGAATCCTTTTAATAATGCACCAATAAAGGAAACATTGTTTGCATAGCCGCCCATGTATCTCCAAGCTTCATTACTAGAGGAAAAAAAGGGAAAAATTATAATCACACACAACTTGTATACATTCACTGAGTAAAATGAACTGAATTTTCACCTTTCTGACATCCTTTTTTTTTTTGAGACAGAGTCTCGCTTTGTTGCCCAGGCTAGAGTGAGTGCCATGGCGTCAGCCTAGCTCACAGCAACCTCAAATTCCTAGGCTCAAGCAATCCTACTGCCTCGGCCTCCCGAATAGCTGGGACTACAGGCATGTACCACCATGCCCGGCTAATTTTTTCTATATATTGGCCAATTTCTTTCTATTTATAGTAGAGACGGGTCTCGCTCTTGCTCAGGCTGGTTTCGAACTCCTGATCTCGAGCAATCTTCCCGCCTCAGCCTCCCAGAGTGCTAGGATTACAGGCGTGAGCCACCTCGCCTGGCCTTTCTAACATACTTAAATGCAACCCTATATAAGATAAGTGGATCACAATAGGAATCTTTCTGTGGTATAGGATAATTAAGTATGTATGTCCAAATCTCACATATAAAATAGAAAAAATAGCACTTAATAATTTCACATTTCACAGCCACACTACTCAGGAGTTTACAGAACTCTCAAATGCAAGACTCACTTCAGCCTATCTGTCACAGGTCAGCTGGGTGGCTCTGCCCATATTAGTCATTATAATATCATACAAAATGAAAGATGAAGTTAGACACTGGAGTATTAATCTTTGCTCTGCCACTTACAGATTTATAGCCCTTTCAGGCTGGGCAAGGTATTTAACCTGTCAGGGTCTGCTGCTCCTTCTATTCAATGATGATTACTATCTACTTTACAGTGTTGCTATAAAGATTAAACAGGTTCACATATGATATATATTGACACAGGAGTGTGTAACACTGGACATCATTATTAGTATTCAAGAGGATTGCAGCTTTTCCCTGTCATAGCATCCTGAACTTTAGAAGACTGATTTCCTGCTCTGGCAATCATTCTTATGAGTACTCTGAATAGAGAAGTAAACAGAAGTCAGAAAGCTCTAGGGAAAAAGTCTTCTCCCACAGATAAAGACAAGTCATAAAAAAAATCATGTTATGCAAAAAAACCCCTACCTAACTCATAAAAATCTGACTTACTAGAACATATGAGAGCTAATCAGATCTAATTTAGAAATTTAGATACCAAAACCAGACAAAGATGTTAGAAGGAAAAAAACTATAGAATAATAACCCTCATGAACACAGATGCAAATATTCTTTTTTTTTGAGACAGAGTCTTGCTCTGTTGCCCAGGCTAGAGTGCAGTGGCAACATCGTAGCTTGCTGAATCCTCAAATTCCTGGGCTCAAGTGAGTCTCCTAAGTAGCTGGGACTAAAGGCGCCTGCAACCATGCCCAGCTCATTCTTTTATTAATACTTTTTGTAGAGACAGGGTCTCACTATGTTGCCCAGGCTGGTCTTGAACTCCTGGGCTCAAGTGATCCTCTTGCTTTGGCCTCCTGAAGTGTGAGGATCTCACGTGTGAGCTACTGCACCCAGCAACATTCCTAACAAAATTTTAGAAAACTGAATCCAGAAATATACAAAAAGGATGATACATCATGATGAAGTAGGGTTCACCTCAGGAATGCAAGATTGATTTATTGTTTGAAAAATCAATAAAAGCCATTAATATACCATATTAACAGAATAGAAAAGAAAAATAGATGTAGAAAAAGCATTTAACAAAAATTAATAATGATAAACAAAACTCTTAGTAATGTAGAAAGAGAACAGAAATTCTTTATCTCGATAAAAGATATCTATGAGAACCCAACAACTAACATCATACTGATGAGACTGAATGCTTTCTCTCAGTTAGGAACAAAGCAATGATCCCTGCTTACACCATTCTTACTCAACATTATATCTGATCACAGACGGTAGTGGTTGAGAAAAAAATATAAAAACAAACAAACAAAAAACCCCCAAAACATTATACCAGCAGTGTTAGTGCGATAAGCAAGAAAAAAGAAATAAAAAGTTTGTACAGGCTGGGCGCGGTGGCTCACGCCTGTAATCCTAGCACTCTGGGAGGCCGAGGCTGGCGGATTGCTTGAGGTCAGGAGTTCGAAACCATCCTGAGCAAGAGCGAGACCCTGTCTCTACTATAAATAGAAAGACTAACACCAAAAAATATAAGAAAGAAATTAATTGACTACACTAAAAAATATATATACAAAAAAAATTAGCCGGGCATGGTGGCGCATGCCTGTAGTCCCAGCTACTAGGGAGGCTGAGGCAGTAGGATCGCTGAGCCCAGGAGATTGAGGTTGCAGTGAGCTAGGCTGACGCCACGGCACTCACTCTAGCCTGGGCAAGAAAGTGAGACTCTGTCTCAAAAAAAAAAAAAAAAAAAAGTACTTTAAATATTATATTTGGTAAATTTCTATAAAAGGACCCTTTGTGAAATATTTTAATTAAGTAGAAGAGAAAACACATTGAATTTATGTTTAAAAATTTGTGTAGGGGCCAAAGTTCAGTGGCTCCATGCCTGTAGATCC